GGGAAGCATCAGAGGATGGCTGTGGTGCTTGGGCCCCTGCACACACATGGGGGATCCTGAAGAAGTTCCTGGCTCCTGGCTTCAGCCTGGCCCAGCCCTAGTTATTGTGGCCATTTGGGACATGAACCAGAAGATGGAAGACCTCTCTCTCCCTGTCTCTACCTATCTCTGTAACTCTACCTTTCAAATAAATAAAATCTAAAAAAAAGTAAAACACATTATATCTTATTCAGGTTTGTTTTTCTATAAAGCTAGAAATACTCTTAAATTATCTTCCTTTTAAAGGATGAAAGTAAATGCTATAATTTTCTGAACTGTTTGGTCATTCCTTGCTTACATATTTCTTTTGTAATTTACTCCTATAAAATATTTTCAATCACATTTAAATAAATAAACATTTTTATCAGATCAATATTAATCTCACATGACTGGTTTTTAAAACTAGAAAGCCAACTTTTTTGTCATCCTATTTTGCAGTATGCATGATAAATGGAATGCAACATTTTCATACCTTAGAAAGAGTTTTTGGTATCATTCCAAGTCCCAAATTATACTTTGCCTATAATTTTATATATATATATATATATTTATTTATAGTTTAAGCAGAAGCATTTATTTTACTTTTTTTTACAGGCAGAGTGGACAGTGAGAGAAAGAGACAGAAAGGTCTTCCTTTACTGTTGGTTTACCCTTCAATGGCTGCCACAGCCAGTGCATTGCGGCCAGTGCACCTCGTTGATACAAAGCCAGGAGCCAGGTGCTTCTCCTCATCTCCCATGCAGGTGCAGGGCCCAAGGACTTGAGCCATCTTCCACTGCACTCCTGGGCCACAGCAGAGAGCTGGACTGGAAGAGGGGCAACCAGGACAGAATCCGGTGCCCCGACCGGGACTAGAACCTGGTGTGCTGGTGCCGCAGGTGGAGGATTAGCCTATTGAGCTGTGGCATTGGCCAACTTTGTAGAGATTTATTTACTTATTTCAAAGGCAGAGCCACACACACACACACACACACACAGAATGAGAGAGAGGTTTCTTCCAACTGCTGGTCCACTCCCTAAATATCCACAAAAGCCAGAAGTAGGACAGGCCAAAGCTAGGAGCTCAATCTCACACATGGGTGTAGGAACCCAAGTATTTTGGCCATCATTTGCTACTTCCCAGACACATTAACAGGAAGTTGGGACTTGTGCCAGGCACTCTATATGGGGCACAGCTGTCCCAAGAGGCAGCTCAACCTGCTGGCATAAGTTCATTTCATTTTTAAACTTTGACCAAATGAAGGAGGGCATTTAGTACTGATTGCGATGCCAGTTGGGATGCCTGTGTCCCATATTGCAGTGCTTGGGTTTGAGTCCTAGCTCCACTTCTGATTCTAGCTTCCTGCCAATGTGCAAGAAGGAGGAAGCAGGTGATGGCCTAAGCACTTGAGTCCTTGCCATTCATGTGGGAAACCTGGATTCAGTTCTGGGATCTTCATTTCTGCCTGGCTCAGCCCTGGCTTTTGTGGGCATTTGGGGCAGTGAACCAGTGAGTAGGAGACAAATCTCTCTCTTTTTGTCTCTGTGCCTTCCAAGTAAATAAAAATTTATTTTAAATCAGCAAATAGATAGAGGTTAGTTAAGTGCGATTTCATATTTTTGGATATTCTTTTTAAAGTTCTGTGCACATGGAGGAAGTCCTTGAAACAGAACACCTGGACACCTTTCTCTATGACCTGGCCTTTGGGAATATGGCAGCCGAGCTGAGGCAACACAAGCTGAGAACCACACATACTCAGCTCACCTTGGAGATGGTTGAGGTATGCAGTAATTTTCACAAGCAGTAACCTTCACAGAAAGGCACAGTTATCAAATTGTTTTTTAAATTAAACAAAATATTTCATCTACATATATGCACCAAGTGATGGACTCTCTCTGATTTGGGTTTCTCTGTTGAGCCTGCTGTTTGAACATCTGCTGCACTTTCCTTCTATCTCTGAGCATTGACCCACACACCTGTGGTATACACATCCAGTTTAGACTTCCTGGGATCATGGTGAACAGAGCCTGGTCTCCGTGACTTTAACAGTGATTACTTGTTTTTGGCACAAGATTGCAATACATTCTTGAAAGAGTTCTCTTTGTTTTGTTCTAGTACTATTGGTTGAACTCTGTGATTAACACACAATTATTCTTAGGTGTTTAAATTTTAACTGAAAAGTGATCCCTGTTGAATATAAGAGTGGGAATAAGAGAAGGAGATGTACAATTTGGGACATGCTCAAGCTGACTTGCCCCAAATGGTGGAGTTAGAATCATGCCAGGGGATTCCAATACAATCCCATCAAGGTGGCATGTACCAATGCCATCTCATTAGTCCAAGTGATCAATTTCTGTTCATAATTGATCACACTGATAGGTCTAAGAGTCAAAGGGATCAAACAAACAAGTCTAGTGTCTGCTAATACTAGCTGATAGAATCAAAAAGGGAGAGAACGATCCATCATGGGAAGCAGGATACACAGTAGACTCATAGAATGGCAGATGTCTTAAATAGCACTCTGGCCTCAGAATCAGCCCTTAAGGCATTGGGGTCTGGCTGAAGAGCCCATGAGAGTATTTCAGGCATGGAAAGCCAAGACACTCTGGCGAAAAAAAAAAAAAAAAAAAAAGAAGAAGACCTAAATGGAAGATCTTTGTGAGTGAGATTCCAGTAGAAAGAACGGGGCCATCAAAGAAGGAGGTACCTTTCTCTGAAGGGAAGAGAAAACTTCCACTTTGACTATGACCCTGTCTGAATAAGATCAAAGTCGGCGAACTCAAAAGGCTTCCATAGCCTTGGCAGCTCATGACAAGAGCCTAGGGAGATTACTGATGCCATAAACAAGAGTGTCAAATTGTTAAGTCAACAACAGGAGTCACTGTGTACTTACTTCTCATGTGGGATCTGTCCTTAGTGTGTTGTCCAATGTGAAGTAATGCTATAACTAGTACTGAAACAATATTTTACACTTTGTGTTTCTGTGGGTGCAAACTGATGAAATCTTCACTTAATATATACTGAATCGATCTTCTGTATATAAAGATAATTGAAAATGAATCTTGATGTGAATGTAATGGGAGAGGGAGTGGGAGATGGGAGGGGTGTGAGTGGGAGGGAAATTATGGGGGGGGGAAGCCATTGTAATCCATAAACTGTACTTTGGAAATTTATATTTACTAAATAAAAAATTAAAAAAAGAAAGAGTGTGAAAGGTATTATGCAGCCAGAGTTGAGAATAACAATAAAAGACTGTGAATCTTATGATCAAAATCACTCCTACACCAGCATCACAGCATTGAACACATTCATGGTACTTTCTATGTGCCTGGTCAAATTCTCAGCCCTTTCTATAGATTAATGCAGACACAGCCTAACAACTAAATGACAACCATTACAGTTCCATGTTATAGGTACAGGAGAACAAGACACAGAGTGACTAATTTGTCCCAGATTACACAACCAGTAAGTGGCAGTGTTGGGATGCAAGCCCAGGACACAAATTACTTGTTCTTCTTTAGGGCACATGGTTATGGTAGCACAAAAGCTTTTGGAATTTACTTTATGAACATATAATTTAAATCACTTTGCTCATGAGCATTTGCCCATTTAGAACAACTACAAGTAAAAGAAACTACACTTCTGAATAGTATTTTCATTGAAAATGAGCCCTAATCGATTGTAAATACGGGATAATAATGAATGTTCAAGGCTTTGAAATCATTTAAATTTGATAGTTATATTTTTCACCTACATGAATTAATTAGAAAAATGGTCTATTAATTAGGTAACTGTTGCAAAGCTTGAATTTGACCCAAATTATCTTGAATATGAAGCATTCCAACCTCCCAGCTGATGATTCTTAATCAGTCTTCACTTGCATATGAATACTCCTACTAATGCTGTCTGCTCATCCATCTCACGGAGGGAACAGTGTCCCGGATAAGCCTGACTTTCTCTTGTCCACCAACAGTGTTAGGGAGGCTCTTCAGCCACATCCTAGATGCAAAGATAGACCCGTATAATGTAGCAGTGAAAAAACTAGAACTGGATTACGAGTATGCACTAAGAGCAACCTTGCTTTTGTTCAAAGACATTTTCTTTTCTACTTCAAAATAGTATGTAAAATTTTAAACATTGAAACTAATGTAATACTCAATATAAAACTCTATCATCCAGAACTGCCATAGACATACTGATGCTTCCCAAGGAGAATGGTGGGCATTTCCCCAAGCACCACTACTCATTCAGATGGGGACTGTAACGCATCTGTAAATCTTGAAGAAAGAGGGAATATTCATCTGTTAAGATGATAGCAATCACCTTTCCATTGTTTGCATTCAAACAAGTTAGTAGTAAAGTTTATCGTTTTTTTCAGCTAGTAGTAAAATTCGTTAGTTCAGTCTTTACCAAATTATTTCTTGGCTTGACTTGAGTACTCTTGTACAGTCCCAGGACAGAACATCAAACAAATTATTCTGTTGCTAAACATTGTACTATTGGCTCTGAAATGGAAATAAAGAGTTAGGAATGTCAGAGCACCTAGGATAAACACAGAGATTAAAATAAAGGCAGGATTCTTTTTGGTAGTAGCTTAATTTTCCTGGTTATTTTGGGTGCACAGTGGAATCTCCAAATGTTCAACTGTGGGTGGAAATATGCGCACAAAATTGCTTCTTATTTCATTTTCTACACACTCCACTCTTCTCTGGGTAACCAAGGGAAGCCCTCATACATAGATAGATACAGGGAGTGCAGGGCTCACAGTGGCCACAGATAACAGCTTTTGTGACATACTGAGTAGGTATTACAGGGACAAGAGGTTGGGCGTGGAGGTAGGGTAACTGGGGTGGGCCTTCTGGGCCAGGGGAGGGGTGGACACCGAGGTGCTGACACGGAAGGACCCACATATACACGCTGCACACTGGACCTCAGTGACCTTCATTCCCAAGCTGTTAGGGTACCACGGAGGCAGCCTTACCCGGGCCTTCTGCTCCACTTCCAACATTAATCTTTCATGCTGCTCAGCTATGGCCAGTGTCGCAGAATGGACCTTCTGATAGATCATTTCTCCTTCCCGTGTTTGAAACGTGAATAGTCCTTCTCCCGTGTCACACATTCTGTGAGAACAGAGACAGGGAAAGAGATGGGTCTTCACGTGCTGAAGTGCGGAACAGTTTTCCACGTAAAAGACGCCCTCGCCCTTGGGTTCCCTCCTCCTCGAATTCCACAGGAGTTAGTGAGGCAGATTGGTCTTGGACCACACAACCGACTCGGGGCAAATGGCGCACAAAAATGCAACAGAGGTGGAAATCCATGCACATCTGGATCATTACAGGTGAGGCATTCAAGACAGTTTAAGGAACAGGTAAAAGTGATACTGTGTACCTTACCAATATTTTAAAAATAGAAACAACTACTCAGAGTGGTTTAAGGATTTTCATGTTTGTGATACAAGAGCAATAGCACATGTGACTCAACCTCTCTTGAAATGTAAAGAGTTCAGGATAAATCTGTAATTTATACTTATTGGAATCAAAGAGAATGCATTTTTAGTTTTACACATTTTTTAACTTTATGGATTTGCATTCATAAGCCAAATATTTCATTTAATTCTCGGAATTCTTAAGTAAATCTTGGTATAAAGTATAGTCTAGCGCAGTATAATGGAGACTCTATTTGACTATGAGAATTTTCGGCCTGAACTTTGACTCTTGCACTTACCACATGTACCCCTGGGCAAGCTGTCCAACCTGCCTAGAATTCCTTCTCACATTACTAAAACAGCAGTGATGATAAGACCAAGTTGTTAGGTTGTTCTGAACGTTAAAAGAGTTGATGCAACAAATACATACAGTGTTGCTTATTAAGTGGTCAAAATGTTCACCATTTTTATCATAAAGTTTGCAACTAATCTAAATATCCACTATAGCGAAAAGGCTGGATTAATACCATTTTCATCTGCTATTATGATACAGACTGTTACACTATTTTTAAAAAAGATTTATTTATTTATTTGAAAGTCAGAGTTACACAGAGAGAGAAGGAGAGGCAGAGAGAGAGAGAGAGAGAGAGAGAGAGAGAGATCGTCCATCTGTTGGTTCACTCCCCAATTGGTCACAACGGCCGGAACTGTAACAATCCGAAGCCAGGAGCCAGGAGCTTCTTCCAGGTCTCCCACACGGGTTCAGGGGCCAAGGACTCAGGCCGTCTTCTACTGCTTTCCCAGGCCATAGCAGAAAGCTGGATTGAAGTGGAGCAGTCAGGACTTGAACCGGTGCCCACATGGAATGCTGGCACTGCAGGAGGTGGCTTTACTGGCTATGCCACAGCGCTGGCCCCCTGTTACACTATTATGATACAGTATTTCAGATGACTACTGCACAGCAACTACTATGCAACAAACAGTATTAAAATTTTTATTATGTAAATCCAAGAGGAAAATCAGTATGCAAACTATTTTAATTACTTAATTATTATCTTTTTATGAAGTAATTTTATTGTAAAAAATCCACTAACAAGTTGTTAGACAAAAGGATTATAGACAAATTTTATTAACAAGGATTTATCCTGAAATGAAAAATATATTTTTAATTTTGGATAATTTATTTTTATTTATTTGAAAAACAAGGGTGGGGAGGGAGGGGGAGGGAGGCGGAGGAAGGGGGGAAGAGGGAGAGAGAGAGAGAACCAGAGATCATCCATCTGCTAGTTCACATCCCAAACGCAATATTCAGATATTTTATGTGGGTGGCAGGGACTCAAGAGGTTGGGTCATCACCTGCTGCCTCCCAGGGTGCTCATTAGCAGGAAGATAGAATTGAAGCGGAGTCAGGAAATGAACCCAAGAACTCCACTGAGGAATCCTGTTGCCCAAAGTGATCTATTAATCACTGTGCCAAAAGCCTGCCCTAAAAAACTTATTTTTAACTATCATTTATTTAAACCAGCTTTTAAAAATAATTGAATGCCTTCAGAAAGAAAGAACCATTCAAAATCAATTTGATATCAATACTTAGATACTGGATCATAATTGTTAGGTTGCTGGCTTTCAAGGTCTAACCTCAAAAGGTTCGCAGGTTGCAATATTAGCATATTCATGAGGCCACACTATTTCTTCAAACACCAGAAAGATTCTGGATTCTTCCTTATTGGTCTCAAAGGAGTTTTCAGTAGAAAAAGTCTCAAGAGGCTCCAGACATTACAGAGGCTGCAACTGGGATCCCGTAGGGCCTCATCGAGCCAGCACTTAGCTTCTGTGAGAGAGATCTTAATAAAATTCACACAGCGTGAAATGGAAATCTGGGGGGAAAATGAAGAGTTTTCACAAAGTGAAACAAATGAGCTTGCTTTGTTGAGTCGGAGGAGCAAGGAAATCCAGCAGCAGCAGCGGCGGCGCCATTGCTACGTCGCAAGGGCTCCTCGTTGGGAACCGCACTGGCTGCTAGCCTTGGGAAATGAGATAACGAACACGCAAATGCTACTTCATGCTTTGTCCCTGCGTGTGAGGTGCCAGGGCTTGTCCATTTCCTGGGGCTGACAGCTGCCCAAGGGCACTTTGAACGCTTACAAGAGTTTTTTTTTTGTTTTTGTTTTCAGTTTCTGATATAAAAACTATAAACTTTATCCTTTAATCAAGAAACAACACATTTTAAAAATATCACACAGAAAGCATTGACATCTTAAGCAGAAGGTGCTCCTTCTTCAGTGTCTGTACCTGAGCCAAGCTGAAGGTCAAACGTCGTCAGCACCATGGGCTCACGCTGATGACTTTGTCAGCCAGGTTGGGATAAAAAGTGGAGGTTTCTCTGGTTGTGGTTTAAAAGGTGTTCTTTGGGGGCTGCTAGGGAACAGCTATGCAGGCTTTTTCTTATCTGTCTAGAATGTTCTGTGGTCCTAAGTCAATGCCAGGGAAGATGACAAGTGGAAACACAGGTGTAGCTGCTTTTGATGGCTCTTCAAGGAATGGTCCACAGCGGAGCTGCACCTGTGTCACTGGGAGGTTGTCCCTGACAGTTGAATCTCAAGGCTCCGTGTGGCTCATGTGTGCAGGGTGGTTTGTGAGTCGCAAACCTGAGGGAACCATTTCAGTAAAGGGAGTGAGAGATGACACATGGAACCCAAATGAGGACAAACTAGAAGTCATATTTATGCAGCTTTTAAAAGACTGTGAAATATGAAATCAAAGGCTAGAAAGGGTGAAATAAGACAAACAGGGGGAAATAACCACAAGAATCCTTCCCTTAATTTGGGAAGAGCTAATACAAAGGAGCAATTTCACTTAAGTCTTTCTTGCCACATTCTTCAATTGCATTTATTTTGTGAAAAAGTGATAACATAGAGGATGTATGTTTGCTCTGACTCCAAACTAGAATTCTGTTGATATTTACAGACAGTAACAAATGTTTTTCTTCAGACTTAACAATATACTTGTGCAATATTAATATATTTGCTTAATGCTGGTTGGGACGCCTGCATCCCTTATCAGTGTTTGGGTTCAGATCCCACACATTCTAGCAGGCAGCAGGTTATGGCTTAAGTGGTTTTGTCCTTGCCACCCACATGGGGGACATGAACTAAGTTCTTGGTGCCAGGAGGGCCTTTGGGAAGTGAGCCCCTGGATTGGGACCTCTCTCTCTCTCTCTCTCTCTCTCTCTCTCTCTCTCTTCCACTCCCACTACCTCTTCTTCCTCCCTCCTTCTCTGAGTTTCTGTCTATATTTCTGTATATCTATGTCTGCCTGCCTCTCAAATAAATTAGAGATTAACAACTTAAACAGTAGAATAAACTGTTGAAGAATATAATCTCTGAGGTCCTGCTCCACTCTGAAGAACAGCCTAGAGACTCATAAAAATTCCAGGAGATGAGAAGGACTGACACACTTATTTCCTTTTTTTTTTTTTTTTTGACACTTTGATATAAGGGGAACTTTAACAGTATAGGGTTCAAAAGACTGTCATAGCACAAACTTCGATCACTATGACACAGCCCGTCATATAGATTTACCACCTATGTTTCAAGTAGGCACTACAAATCAGGAGTGGAAAATGTCATGGTCCATTACCCCAAGGCGTTCCAGATGTTGGAGGGAGACAACCACTGATCTGCCACCAGGGGGCGGTATGGAGCCATGAAGAAGGTAACTGGACAGTCAATGGGGAAATGTGTTACCTGTTGGCTCCTCACCTGGGAAACTGGAGCTACAAGATTTTGTCCTAGATTTTTTCCCCCTTAAAAAAAAACTTAATAAAGTAACACATGTGATCATAGGCAGGCAAGGGAATTCAGTTGAGCCCAGGTTCCTCTAACCCTGCACAAGGCAAGGAAAGCCCTGTTTGCGGGAAGGGCCCCCAGCCAGCATCTGGAACACCTCTTCCCAGCCTTTGAAACCTTCAGTCTCTCTCTGTAGGACTGAGGCTGTGGGCCACGCTGCAGGATTTGACCAGCAAACTTGATCCCAACAATGTGACTTAGACTAAGTGCCTGCCTCTACGCGGACGGAGGGTGGAGTCTGAGGCACTGAGGTGGGACTTGGAGGTGCTGCGTGCCTACAGGGAGGGCCCGAATAAAAACCCTGGGCCCCAAAGTATGGGGAAGTTCCCCTGATTGACAGCACCTCGCATGTGCTGGCAGTCACCACTGCCGGGAGGGTTAAGTGTCCCCATGGAACCGCAGCAGTGCTGGCCTCTCCTGCTCTCCCTCCCGTGTGCCATCTCCTTATGCTGACTCTACCTGTACTCTTACTGCACTGAGCCTACTGTGTGTGTAACAGCATCTCCTGGGTTTTACAGTTCTTACGGAGAACCACTGAGCTTGAGAGTGGTCTTGGGGCCCTCCACTGGAGACAGCTGCACATGGTAGAGCATCAAGGTATCTTACTACACCAAGAATCTAAGCATCCTCGTCTTTTCCCCACATGGCTGTTTTGTGAATTCCATTTTCCTGGGGAATCTGACACTGTCCTAACTTTATCCTCCACCACTGCTCGCTGCCAGTAGCACTTGAAATAACAGCACAGTTAGTCTTGTCTCTGTTGCAAACTAATAAATAAGGAAGAATGAAAAAGTATGCAGATGTAGACCTTGTAAAAAACTGAACTTTACATCAGATGCTCCACTCT